AGTGGTAATTAATTCAATTTTACTTGTTCAGCACAGTATGTATCACAGTACATGGGTCTGGTCAAGTGGTAACGGAAGGAAACAAGGGCAGATTTTTTATATTCAAATGTCTCTTATTCAGAAACTAGAGGGACTATTGAAATAAGTAAAGTATCAGAATGTAGGAAAGAGTTACACTCCAACAGGGTAAAGTTAAACCTGTGATATTCTTTCAAGTTGTTGACAAAAAATTTAAAAACTCATGTCGGTAACGGAGGGAATGAAATATGCAGCACTTTTTGGGCAATAAATACAAACAGTGATAACTAGCGGTTCTCACTTACATATCCTTAACAAACTGGTTTGAATATTTGCTTCATATAGTTTTCTACCATATGGTACAAGATTAGGTTGAAAAACCTCTTACTTTTTGAGTAATGAGATTTTTTTTATTAAGAAAGGTCATGGTAACGGAGGGAAAAGTAACGGAGGGAAATTGTACAAGCAAGTAGAAGGTGCATGATTTTACATCATTTATCAGCTTTTTTCTTCCAAATACTTTCTTCCGAATACTAAATTTTTATCATTTTAAATACATTTTTTTTTTTTTTTAAAATCATGTACCTTCATCAACAGTTCAAAGATGGAATAACACAAGATATGATGAAATACATCCAGTTTATTTACATGATTTGCAGGTCTTTGAAATTTGGGAAATAATTTTTGTTCCATGTTTCATACATGGTCTGTTTAAAACATATGGAACTTTAGAACCAAAAATGGTACAGAAAAAAGGTGAACAGTTTCATAAACTAGAGTACATATGTATCTGTTCAATACATTTTTATATCAGATGCATTAACTTGAATTTTTGGCCTTGCTGTTTACTTCTGCTTGACCGGGCCTACATATAATTCAGAAATCATTTGGTGAGTTACTTGACAGGGGATGGAGAGTTACTAGTTGCTCTGGAGCTATAGATTGGAGACCCCGATGTAAAAGAAATAAATGCTGTTCTCAGTCTCTGCACTGGTATTGGTTGATATCAGATATCGATAGATACTTAAAGTTATAGTACCTAACTCGGTATTGGAAGTGAAAAGCTGGATTGGAGCATCTCCATTACAGAGCTGTAAGAGGTATCTGCTTTGATTTGTGAGATGTCTTGGCAACCACAATGTCTAAGAGACTGAAGCATATTATTTACCAAATATTTTTGTGCATGCCTGTTTTTTCCTGGTTGGAGCCCAGTTTAGTCCTGACATAGTTCAGTCCTGTTCTAGTCTGGGTTTATTTCTGGTCCAGTCCAGGTTCAGTCTTTAGTCCTAATTTTGAGTCCATGAGCCTTTTCAATCCCTCCTAATAGCCCATGAGACACTCTAATATCTATTGTCTATTTAACTACCCCCTGACTCAGACTGCTGGTTCTGTAGAGGTGAGTTGAAGGTTGAATTCCCCCTGAGCCGATGAGCCACACACAGAGGCCAAAGTAAATCTTGACTGAAGCTGTATGGGACATTGTTAATGCCCTGTCTCCTGCCTCGTGTTAATTGGACTTTCGATCGCTCACCTCTTTTTCATCTCTCCAAAACCTCATCTGGATCGCGCTATATTTCAAATCGACCCCCACACGTCTTTTGTACAATTTATTTTTGTAATTTAAGACCTGGTTTTAATCACCGAAGGGGTACAGATTTCTTAGGAGGCAAGGTTAATGCTTTATTTGAAGATTGTCCCTGTATTGAGCAGAGTGGTCTTGTAATAGTGATGTAAAAAGTAGCAGACACGAGGTTTGGAGAGAGGGCAGAGCTGTCCCCGGGCGGTGATTACACGTGTGACCACAGAGGGCGACGGAGAGGGGCAGGAGAGGTTTGATCTGCAGATTAAAATGCCCAGAAGCGACTGATCTTCTGTCACGTCTCAGGGAAGAACTGGCCCCGGGTTATGTCTCACCTTACACGGAGTTTTTAGTATTTCATATCTGTGCCCAGGGAAACTGCCAGTGTGGTTTTGAAGATAGGAAAGTGAAAGTTTTCCGTGAAGCAGGTACAGTCACGTATTAAAGGACCTATATTACTCTATCTTCTGATCTGTTGTAATGTTGTTTCTTCATCGCAATATTATACCTGGAGTTGTGTTTTGTTTCATTCACACAACACACAACTTAACACACAAACCCTGCGCATTTAGACACTGAAATCCACCTTGTGATGTGCTCCACTGTGTTTGAAAACTCCACACACCTTCACTAGAATCATTTGGATCATTTCAGCTCTGGAATTGCCAGTCTCTACTGAATAAAACATAAAAAGTAACTTGAAAACTACCACTAAATGACCTCCAGTGTTAGGCAAGTTACTTCAAAACTGTAATGCGTTATTTAGTACTTGTTACTGTCATTTTGAAGTAATTTGTTACTTTACAATATCACTGCAATTAAAATGTAAGGCCTTATACTACTATTGCATTACTTTTAAGTTACTCTCACCAAAATAAGTGGAAATATGGATTTGGCAATCAAAATGGAGCTCACGACGCTCAATTTGCGCCTCCAGTGGAAGGTGATGTGGGATCTGATTGAGCTGAACAGGAAGTAGAGTCACTATCGCTTTTTTTTTACTTTTAAAGAAGGCTTCAAACTGGATTAATAGCACGGTTTTGTGGACTAGATGTCATCATTTGCGGAGGACAAATTCTATGGATAATGTGGATAATAGTCCAATGAGATTCATTTGGTCTTCTGATATTTTATGTTATTAGGTTCTTTTTTTCAGACCTGGAGTTTTGTTTCATACCTGAGAGTTTCGACTGCTCACTAGCGTCTTCCTCAGAGTGGTCACGTGATGTTGCTGTGACGTGTCCGGTCAGCTGATTTAAACAGGTTTTGGCGCTGTCTTCCTACCGGTGGAGGCAGGACGACAGCGCCACCTGCAGTCCCACTTCCTCAAGGAGAACAAACATCGCCGCTGGATTAAAGAAGCAATCGAAATACGGAAACGTGCCCACAGGACTGTAAACCGGGACGAGGGGGCTTTTTTACTCTCACACACCTGGGATGCTGTCCTGAGGAAGTGGGACTGCAGATGGCGCTGTCGTCCTGCCTCCACCGGTAGGAAGACAGCGCCAAAACCTGTTTAAATCAGCTGACTGGACACGTCACAGCAACATCACGTGACATCTAGTCGTGTATGAAAACAAAAAAGACCTAATAACATAATGTGGATAGTGTGAGATGGTGAGCCCCTGACATTGCTGTTGCCGTAAGCATGTTTGGTGGTCATCTGACAGAAGCTCAGAGTCACACTGAGTGAGTCGTGGAGAAGCAGATAAATCAAGCTGGGAAATTGAAGCCAGGTTAATGCAAATGATAATATTTGTACCAAGTAAATATTTCTGTAATACCTTGATTGCAACAAAAGCATGCATGACAGTAATATTTGTTTGTTACTTTCAGTGTTGGGGAGTAAAGATTACATGTACTTCAGAGTACAAGAGTAACTGTATTCAGTTACAGTTAGTTTCAGTGAGTGGTAATTGGATTACAGTTACTTTGTTGAAATAAATGGATTACATGGTGGTATTTTCCTGTTTTTACATTTTGGGCTAAATCCCCTTTTCTTTTTTGCCGGACACTAAGCCAGGACTAAACCAGGTCTAAACCAGGACTAAACCAGGTAAACCAGGACTAAACCAGTCTAAACCAGGTCTAAACCAGGTCTAAACCAGGTCTAAACTAAACCAGGTCTAAACCAGTAAACCAGGTCTAAACCAGGTCTAAACCAGGTCTAAACCAGGTAAACTAAACCAGGACTAAACCAGGTAAACCAGGAACTAAACCAGGACTAAACCAGGTAAACCAGGTCTAAACCAGGAAAACCAGGTAAAACCAGGTCTAAACCAGGACTCTAAACCAGGACTCTAAACCAGGTCTAAACCAGGACTAAACCAGGACTAAACTAAACCAGGTCTAAACCAGGTAAACCAGGAAACCAGGTAAACCACTAAACAGGTCTAAACCAGGTAACTAAACCAGGTCTAAACCAGGACTAAAACCAGGTCTAAACCAGGTCTAA